TATGCATAAACCCTCTAACCCAAGTTCCATACGATACAAAAAAAATATTTGAACCTTCCCTTGTCATCAAGCTTCAACGATGTCTTGCTTCCTTCATTTACAGTCATACGCATATGACGATAACCATCTAAAATTGCATATCCATGCTCCAGTGTCCCTCTTATCATAGCCTTGCAATTTCACTGATTTTTAAACACTTTCAGTAGCTAATCTTGCAGCCCAAATCTGCTTGAACAATAATTTTTATATCTTTTGTGGAGGGACCTTTTCCATTCAAGAAACTAGGTAGCATGTATTCTGCGATGATCTCCGCTGAAGCATGTGGATGATGACTTGTAAGATGTTGTGCCCCACATGAGTGAATGCTGTTGTATTGTTTAATTTCAAATATATTACAACTTTGAAGTTTTGTTGCTCGCAATCACCGATCACAATTTGATCTACACATCTAGCACAATACACATCTTTATAACTCTTTAGTGATTTGAGTCTTTGATCTTTCTTCACAGAAGAAAGCTTCAACAATTTAGTTAATTCTTGTTTGTCCTTGAAAATTTTACCTTTATAAAAGCTTGTGTCGCATCATTCATGTGTCTGCCTTGTGTTGGTATAAAATGTTGAGAAGCGTCCTCGTTTATAGAAATATCAATAGTAACAGGGTGTTCTTCATTATTTGCAACTGCATTTGTTGTCTCTGCTTATCTTTTCAACCACATATTCTTAAAATGGGCCTACTTCGATCATCCAAAAGATATTGTAAATAACGATTATCCCTTATCCTAGAAGGAGCTCCTTTTTTTCTCTTCAATGAAGCCAAGCATGTAAGTAATAGAGAGATCATCTTTATCACAATTTAACTCAAACCTAGAAATAATGATCTCAACCAACTAATTGTACATAACATTCTCACTTATCTTTATTGGTACTGTTTCTCGACCCTTTGATCACCAAGTATAACGAGTAGGATTCTCTACCCATTCACCATGTAATCAACTGCTATTATTATTTGATCTTTCATAGATGGACACAATACCTGAAGACATCACACAATCTTCAACTAGTGAGACATTCATCAAACAACTTTGAAATCGCTAAATAATATTTAATACTTGTTTTTACACCTATTTCGTTGTTTCACAACTATCAACAATAGTAAGAAAATTTTAGTAGCTTTAGAAATTTTTATAATTCTTCAATTGATCAACAACAGGACACAGTTGTCGAACAACTGCACTAGTTGTTGGGACAACTTCTACTATCGCCGGACAACTAAAGACAATTGTTGGACATCAACAAACATACATATGTAATTATTTCAATAAACAACTTCGATAGTTGTCCGGACAACTACGAAAGTCGTTGACTGAAACAATCACTTTGGATTCACTAAACGCAACTTAAGAATGGACACAAAGTGATTTTCATACTTATCATTAATGCTTTTTTTAGTTTATTCAAAGCTCAAACAAAATAAATGCAATACAAAAAAACTCAAACATATATATATTGTTATTCTTTTTTCATAATTTTTTCTTGATAAATCTTCTCAATAAAAGCACATATTTTTGCAGATAAAGGAAGATGGAGAAGAAGAAAGGATTGACAAATATGCCTACGGTTGAAGAGGATCGATGGGAAGAAGATGGAGTTGTGAAAGAGCACCTTTTTTTTTTTTTGTCTATTTTGGTAAAAATTTAAATATTTAAGGTAAAAAATATAGAGAAAAAAGTGTAAAAGTTAAAAGTTTGAGGCTATTGAGAAAACATCTTTTAACCTAATTAATATTATTTATTTATTCGTCACTTGTACCCAATATTTAAGACTTGAAGGACTCCAACCTAATTGACTAACTTGTTTGTCCCTTTTAATAGACCTTCCCGTTTATTATACTCATCCATGTCATATCAACGAAAAGTGCTTAAAATGATGTGTTAAATGTACAAATCTCACTTGAAGTGTTTAAGCGCAAAATGATATAAACTTTAAGAATTTACCAATGAGTTCTGCCATTTACGTATCTTATCGTGTTTGGAATATAGGAATAACAAATTTATTGCCACCCTCACCCCCGGGTCCATCTCCCTCTTTTTACTCTCAATCTCTCATCGATTGTGAAACTTCTTCATATTTTCACCAGTAAAGTATCATAGATGAATTACATCAAATTTAAACAATCATCACCTTATTCCATCGATATCTCCAACAAATCTACTAAGAATATGTAAACTCACTTCATCCTCATGCTTCTCCTTCTCCCCCTCTTCCCCTCCTCCTCCTCTTCCTCATTCTTCTTCTCTTTCTAAATATGAATCCATGATCAAATACATTGTTGGGATAAATTAGTGTATATTTGATATTAGATTTTTTGTTGAATGTATGGAGAAGGGCCTAAAATACCCCTCAAGTATTTGAATTGATACAAAATTACCCTCCATCCACCTATCGGCCCTAAAATACCCCTGATGTCCACCTTTCAGCTCAAAACTACCCTTGTGTCTAACAGATCATACTCATAAGGTGGATTAAGGGTAATATTGTACCAAATCTCATAGTTTAAGGGCATTTTAGGCCCTTTTCCGTTAAAATAATTTGAAATTACTTAATATATAAGCTCACATGATTGACTTGATTTTGAATTTCTTAGTAAATTTAAAATTATAAAAAGGTTAGGCATCTACTCTCTACACTCCTCCCTCCCTGACCCTTCACTTCCTATTTCTTCCTTCTTCTTTTTTCTATTTGGATCTTGTCCACTATTTTTTTTAAAAAAAAATTATGACAAACAAGAGAGAAAAAAAAGGAGGAAAATAACCATGCATTCATATAGAAATAATTAGTTCAATAAAAGATGACTTAATTAAGTAAATATGTACAAATATTATATTTTTCTTTTGTGTGTACCCAAAATTAAAAATAAAAGAATAAAATTAATCATTTCTCTTATCCCCATCCTCATCCCATCATGACAATAATACTAATTAAAAGAATATAAATATGTGAGTTCATTTCAAGTTTGAGTCCCGAATATCCTAATTAATTAAGAATAAGAGATTACAAAAAGGAATAAAAGAGAAAATGAACAAGACATTTGGATAATTGAGAGAAAAATTTATATTAATGAAAATAATATTTTTTTTAGATGGAGTGATGGACAATCAGTCTGGGTAAGTATGGATTTTAGTTGGATCCCCATTTATGAGTTGAGTTACGTTATAATAAATTGGGGTCGATTTAAAATTGGTCAATAGAAAGATATCATGAAATTAATTATTTTTTCAATATTATTTTCAAGTGCATCGGGTCAAAATATGAATCATAAGTGGTTTTATAGAAAAATAGAATTTTTAAAAATATCGTTTTTATTATTTATTTGAGAAGGGTTTAAATTTGGACCAATCACATTAAGCAATATAATAAATACATATTTAATAATTTTACTTTAAGGGAGCTATTAAAAACAAGGGCAAATATATATGAGTCAAAGGATTAACATCAAGGGTATTTTTGAGCCGAAAGGTGGATGTTAGAAGTATTTTAGGGCCGATAGGTGGATGAAGGTAATTTTGTATCAATTCAAATACTTGAGGGGCATTTTAGACCCTTCTCCGATTGAACGTATTAGTAAATATTTGATATCAATAAAAATTACATAGGATACATGTGATTCCAGGCTAACCAAAACACAAATATACATGCGTATATGATACTCTACATGTAACATGTATGGTAGTAAAAATGGATACATTTATGCAATGAAACAGATATATGCAGGTATAAAAAAACATAGATAAACATATATACTTGTGCATTAGATACATGTATGATATTTAAAATTGAATCGTGAAACATAAATACAGAGAGGGAGATAGTGGAGTTAGTGATTTAAAATTTAAGCAGTTTTAAGCAAAGTATTGTATCTCCTTTAAACTCAGATATGATATGTTATAATTGAAAATATCGCTGCATAAAGTAATTTAGTGATATCATAATTTGTGAATTTTTTTTTAAAATAATTAATTTCATCTTAATGTTATAGAATGACATTGTAATTATATTTGTTTAGGATCTAGGGAAGAGGAGAAAGAAAAGACGGTATGGTGATAATATCTACTTGAACATGTTGATTTATTAGGTTTCAGTAATTCTGTATAATTTGCAAATTTGTATCTGTTGTTGTTTGGGTGAGTTTATTGATCATCGTAGCCTTACCTAATAGTAAGCCTCCGTATCAAAAGAGTGACCAAAAAATCTATTCATGACTAACTCATAAATAGTATTTTGCTGCTGATCGATACAATAGATTTAATAACCTTTTGAGACAATCGATTTAATAACCTTGACAATTAATATGGTACGGGGAAAGTAATAAATTTTCTAAGCTAAACATACAAATAGAAATGATCTCAGCCGATAAAAGTGAGAGGAAAACAAATTTTAATAACTCAATTGATTGACTATCTTAATTTTCACTTTATTGCTGAGGGTTCAATTTTTTGCCTAGTAATTTCCTTCTCGTACACCCATTTTTAAAAGGGAAAAGAAATAAATATACCCCCGAACTATCGTAAATGATATGCAGATATCCTCCGTCATATTTTTGGGACATTGGTACCCCTGCCGTTCAAAAATTAGAGCATATATACCCTTTATACTAATAGACATACACATGTTATAATCTTATCCACGATTCAACATTTATTAAATATCGCATCGACAGATAAGATTGCGCCATGTGTCCCTATTTAGTCTCTCGTTAGAGTGAAGGACATATATGCTCTAGTTTTTGGACAACATGAACATCAATGTCCCAAAAATATGACGTAGAATATCTTCATACCATTTACGATAGTTCAGGGTATATTTGTCATTTTTCCCTTCTTTCTAAAAAAGAAGGATAAAAATGAGGGAAAAACAAAAGAAATTTGTACTCTTTTTGTAAATGGTAAAATGACCAAACACCCCTAGCTTGTTTGTAAGGCCAAAATGATCACACCATATCCATATTACACTACTCTTCTTCAAAACTATACAATTAAGCATGGCCTCACTGCCCATTAACCCAACCTTCAATCCTCACACCCCTGGCCCTGGCACCTCTAAACCCAATTCATTTCAGAAATTCCCACAGACCCATATCATATCATACCAAGAAGATGGCACAAATGAAAAATTTCTCAATAAATCTCACTACTTCAAGCTCCTTGGGTCTCTATGCAAAGAGGGTAAACTTCAAGAAGCTGTGGACTTTCTTAAGGAAATGGAGTATGGGAATTTATATGTTGGACCTGAGTTCTATGGTGAACTCCTCCAAGGCTGTGTCTATGAGAGAAACCAAAAATTGGGTAAGCAAATTCATGCCAAGATTCTAAAAAGGGGTGATTTTTTTGCCAGGAATGAGTACATTGAGACAAAGCTTGTTATTTTTTATGCAAAATGTGATGTTTTTGATGTTTCCAATCATTTGTTTTGCAGACTGAGAAAACAGAATGTGTTTTCTTGGGCTGCAATTATTGGACTACATTGTAGGATGAATTTGTCTAAAGAAGCTTTGTTGAAATACATTGAAATGCTTGAAAGTGGGATTCTTGGTGACAATTTTGTTCTCCCAAATGTATTGAAAGCTTGTGGTGCTTTGAATTTTGTTGAATTTGGGAAATGTGTACATGGGCATGTCTTGAAATTAAGTTATGAAGATTGTGTATTTGTGGCTAGTAGTCTTATTGACATGTATGGGAAATGTGGGGTTTTGGATGATGCACGGAAGGTGTTTGATTGTATGTGTGAAAGAAACGTAGTTGCATGGAACTCGCTAATCGTAAGTTATATGCAAAATGGATTCAATGAGGAAGCTATTGGAGTCTTCTATGATATGAGAACTGAAGAAATTGAACCAACTCATGTAACTCTGTCGAGTTTTCTTTCGGCTTCAGCCAATTTATGTGCTCTACAAGAAGGTAAGCAAGGCCATGCTATATCTATCGTGAGTGGATTAGATTTGAATAACATATTGGGGAGCTCACTTATAAACTTTTATGCTAAAGTTGGTTTGGTTAATGATGCTGAGCTAATATTTGATAGGCTGTTTGAGAAAGATGTAGTAACATGGAACTTGCTAATGTCTTGTTATGTACAATCTGGTAAAATTGACAAGGCTCTCAACTTGTCCCGTTGGATGAGATTAAAAGGTTTTAGGTTTGACTCCGTGACACTATCAACAATATTATCAGCCTCAGCAGAATTAAGGGATTTGAAACTTGGCAGAGAAGGGCATTGTTTTTGTATCAGAAACAATTTTGAGGATGACATAGTTGTAGCAAGTGGTATTATAAATATGTACTCCAAATGTGAGAAAATCCCAGATGCAAGACGGGTTTTTGACTACACAATGGAGAAAGATCTAGTCTTGTGGAATACATTATTGGCTGCTTATGCAGAAGTGGGTTTGAGTGGTGAGTCATTAAGATTATTTTACCAGATGCAGCTTTATGGTTTACAACAAAATACCATATCTTGGAATTCTGTAATTCTTGGATTCTTAAGAAATGGACAGATAAATGAGGCCAGAGACATGTTTACACAAATGAAAACTGTTGGTTTAGACCCTAACACGGTTACTTATACTACTCTTATCAGTGGTCTATCACAAAATGGTCACAACAGTGAGGCACTTACATATTTTAAGCAACTGCTTCAAGCAGGGTATCGACCAAATAGTGCAAGTATTGTTGCCGCCCTCTCAGCCTCCACAAATATGGCGTCACTGCACGACGGAAGAGCCATTCATGGATACATTTTAAGGCAAAAGATTCCATTATCTCTTCCAGTAGCAACTTCATTAGTTGATATGTATACTAAATGTGGAAGTCTAAATTGTGCAAAATGCATTTTTGATTTGATTCCAGAAAAGGAGTTGGCCTTGTATAATGCTATGATATCTGGTTATGCTTTACATGGCCGTGCTATTGAAGCACTTGCATTGTTCAAACGTCTGTGCAAGGAAGGCGTGGAACCAGACAGCATAACCTTCACCAGTGTGCTATCCTCTTGTTGTCATACTGGACTGGTAAAAGAAGGCTTAGACGTTTTTTATGACATGCTCTCTGTGTATCATATGAAGCCAAGAGTGGAACATTATGGTTGTATGATCACTCTTCTCTCTAGGTGTGGTGATCTCGATGAAGCTATGCAGCTCATTCAGAGTATGCCTTTCAAACCTGATGCAAATGTTTTTGAATCACTGCTTGTGGCTTGTAGAGAACTCAGAGAGACAGAACTCGAGGAGCGTATAGCTAATTGTTTAATTAAGATGGAACCGGATAATTCAGGACACTATGTGTCACTTTCAAATGCATATGCAACAACTGGAAGATGGGATGAAGTCTCAAAACTGAGGGATTTGATGAAGAAAAAGGGTCTTAGGAAGAGACCTGGATGCAGTTGGATTCAGGTTGGAACAGAATTTCATATGTTTGTTTCAGGAGACAAGTGGCATTCACACACAGAGGAAATAAGTACAATGTTGGCTTTGCTGGATAGGGAAATGCAGCTTACTAGATTCTTTTTCAACAACTGAGAATATCAAGTTATGATTCCTTGGGTACATTTGTCATCTTTGCAAACTGTACTCATGTTAATCTGATACTATCAAGATCACAATTTTGAGAGGTTAAAAATGACTTGAAGACCCGAAAAGCCCCAACACAAGAGAATGCCAATCATGTCATCACTTGTGAAAAGATATATCTGTATTCTTCTTCAGGAGACAACATTGAAGTTTTGATGCTGGACCAGTTCATATAAATTTCCTGATGGATCAGAGGCTTAGATGAGACAACATTATGCTTTGTGGGCAAAATGATTTCGTGTGTTAACAACAACTTGGGTATGGCCAAGTGAAGTCTATCCTCTTGGGGCAAGCAGTGGGTATTTCCAACAACCCAATGTAGTACTTGCATCATTTTATTCACAACAAAGACTGATGTATGGATTGGATAGATGACAGAGATGGTTCCTACATGAGTTGTCTAATGGAAGTACTTCTGTTCTTCTAGGTTGTGGTACTAAAGACCAAATTGAAAATTTTAAAACTATTGGAGCTGCTGTAAATAAACACATTTGGCATCCTTTTCTAGTAATTTCTCTAAATTGATTACAATTCATCACATTTTCTTATGACTAGCAATTCACCTTGAAAATTTAGTGCTCAATGTGCTAATCCACGAATGCCTTCTGTGTACAGATCATTCTTTTCCATTTTCATTTTTCAAACTGATGCAGACTTCCTTGGAAGGAGGGCATTAGCATCTATCCGTTTGCAAGAAAATGGAGAAACACACTGAGAAAAACTTTTCTAGGATGCAAGAAGAAGTGAGTGTTATCATAGATCAAGTTGGTGAATGCTCCTTTATGTATCGATCCATAAGGTAATTGATCATTCCATGTGTTAAATTTGCAAGTTTTTCTATTTTGTCATTTCGAGGGAAATTAAATGCAACAGTGGCATTTCAGTCTTCATTCTCACTGGTCTGGAACAAGTTGTTTATCCATCTAGGAAGTAAAAGGGTTATACAAACCTGGTTGTTGAATGTGCGAACAAATCCTATAATGGTAGTTGAAAAGATGGGGAAGCTACATATAAGGTGTAGAGATACTCTTACTAGTGTGAAACTTTTCAGAGAAAACCGTGTGGGATTGGCCTGAAGCAGACAATATCACACCATGTTAAGAATATCTTTCAGCTATTTTAGTCCAATAACTAATATCAGAACCAATGATTTGATGATATGATTACGGAGATGGTGGAGTGATGCCATGGGGCTCGATTTGTTAACTTTATCATGCCAAAGGTAGCTTTGAGACACACACGCACAAGTAGAAGCTAGTTCTGGGCTTCGGTGACCATAAATGGTCAGTCATGTGGGTAGCAGATTGTTTATCTTAAAAATTGACCCATCAATCATTGGTAATGGGCCATGTGAACTTAGTTCTAGGAGAACTGTGGATTGTTGTAGTGAGCCACATGGAACTTCGTTCAATGGGAGATTGCTGAGTGTGCTAACAAAATCCTACTGGTAGTTGAAAAGATCGGGAAGGTACATGTAAGGTATAGGTATACTCTTAATAGTATGAGGCATTTTGGAGAAGACCATGATAAAACAGAAAAGAGGATAAATGATCTGTAAATACAACCAGTTAAATTACATTTATGGAGTAATGGTCATAACTCTTAAATTTTATTTCTGATCATTTGTTGTTACAAAGTGCCAACAGCTCTTCCACCACACCATCTATCTCTTCATCCCCTTTTGCATTCATATATTCACTCAGTTCCTTAGCTTTCTTCCTCATCGCTTCCCCACCTTTCTCCACTACCACCTTCCTTATCGCCTTTGCAATCTCTTCACTTTGTAGTTTCCCTTTCTCGTCCCTCACTACCTCCATTCCCATCCCAATATATTCTACAAGCTTAGCGTTCATTGGTTGGTCACCCTGCATAGGCATGGCAATTATGGGCACACCACATTTCATACTTTCCATGAAAGAACTCCATCCACAGTGGCTCACGAACCCTCCAATGCTTGTGTGTTGAAGAATTGTTGCTTGAGGAGCCAATCCTTCAATAATTATTCCTCTTTCTCCTACCCGTTCTAGAAACCCTTCCGGTAATGCATCTCGAATGTTAATTCTTTCACCTTGTGGAAACCTGATGACCCAAACGAAGTTCACTTTGCTAAGCTCTAGTCCTTGAGCTACTTCATGAATTTCTTCCTTTGATAGAAAATACTCACTCCCAAATGAAACAAACACAGTTGAACTTCTATGTTTCTTGTCAAGCCATTGCATGATCTCCTCACTGTCATCTTTGTTGGTGGATTCTTGAACTAGTGTACCAACTGGGACTATTTTCTTGGAGACTAAACTTGCAAGATAATCCATATATTTCCCTTCAAAATCTCTGCAAGTTTTCATCAGAACAATGTCCTGTGATCGCCTAAGACCCTCATCGAATGGGAACTTCCAACCAGGGACAGTATTCTTCAATGAAAGTATTTCTTGTTCACGCAGGTACAATTCAGGAAATGGGAACATTTCTCCTGGCCTATCATACATGTGGATGCCCAAAGCAATCACGGCTGCGCTAAAAGTGAGGAACTGCACTGCAGGAATGTTAACAGAGGAGGCGCAGTCAGCAGCCCATGGCAGATTGAAGTCATAAATAACCAAGTCTGGATGTAGAGTTTGTAATATCCTAGAAAAGTTTGGAGTGCTCATTTCAAAAGTATTTTTGAGAGTTGTCATGAGATGGGGTGGAAGGCCATTGGTAGTGTGGTAATGAGGAGGAAGATTTGACAATGATGGAAGATGAAAATCAACTAAATCTATTGACTGAGAATACTCCTCTGTAACTCTTTTCTTGATTGAGCTTAGACATACAGGAGTGGAACAAATGTAAATGTGGAAGTTTCTATTTGCAAGCTTCTTGGCTAGCTCTAGGTATGGATTTATGTGACCATGGGCTAGCCATGGTAACATAAGTACACTAATGGTGTTTTTCTTGGCCTCCATTAACAATTCTGTGTGTAATGGATGTAGCATATATATGTATATATGATGATGATAAACTATTGTTAGTATTTGTTGATCTTTGGTGTGGGTTGCTAAATGACATGGTGCATATATAGTAGTAGTATATATAGGGTAAAAAATGCCCTTAAACTATTATGCACAACAATTGATTACGTAGGGAATATGCAGAACTCACCTTTCAACCATTAGCTGGTAAAAAAGAATCAAGCATGCACAGAAGGGGCGTATTAAAGACATACTTATGCTACTAATTAAACTTTGCGTATTAGACCTACATACATGCAAATATAGCATCACTATTTATATTCATTTGAATGGTAGATGACATTACTTAACTATCCAACATACTATAATGGAACAAACACTAATTTATGGTTATTTATGGGGTTGAGCAATCTAACTAAATAATCAGAGATAAATTTATGATTTCTAGAATACGGATATACCACTTAATAAAAGGAGAAAACTATATAAAGTGGGAATTGATCTGTAAAGTAGATTATTAAAATGCCTATTTTATATGATATATATTATGTTAAGTAAATTGAAGGAGAAAAATAAAAATAAAAATAAATACAATTTTTTTTTTGAAAAAATGTAACTAATTTATTTTTTAAAAGGATAAAAATGTATGTCTAACTATTTTCTATGAATTTAGAATTTAGTATAATATAATAATAATATTATATAATTACTATTTAATATTTATTTGATTAGCTATTTTATAATATTTTTATTTAGTGTAGGGGTAAAATGGTATTTCAACTTTTAAGTTTTTTTGTTCCCACACACACATATATGAATGATAACTCAACATTCAACTAAGTGCACCCATTCAACCTCAGAATATGAGTGCAAATAGATAATATTAATATACCAATTAAAAAAATATGCACATAAAATATTTAACTCTGCGAAGAGATCGTAAGTTCACGTGCATCAAAATTAGCCCAACAAATCCGCCCCGTAAATAACCATATTGTTTTCTTTTAGGTAATACTGAATTAAGTTACCAAGCTTGTTAGTTCACCTCTTTCTCTTACCGTCTCTATTACTCCTTTCCATTTCAAAGTACTTGTTAAGTTTCATTTTTAGAGAGTTAATTATGTGAACTTTGATCATTATTTTAAGAAATGTTACAATATTAAGATGAGAAGAATCACAACTTATAATAGTATTTTTATATGATTTTTGAATATCTAAATTATAATTTAAAAATATTGCATTACTCTATAATTTAGCTTCAAGATAGTCAAAAATATGACAGCTAATACGAAAAATACTTTTTGAGAACTTCTCTCTTTTTTTTTTTTTTTTTTTTCAAATAAGAAGTTTTAATAGATTTGTGTTTTCTTGTAATAGCGGGACAAACACTAATTTGATGTTTTTTGTTTTAGACTTCTTTTAAGTAATTAAGCTAAATATTAGTTTTTTTTTTTGTTCCAATTTATATATGATCATATTTATTTTTTAATTAGTTAAAAAACTAATGAAATATATTTTTTAAATAATCAAATTTTAATTTTTTTATTTTATTCTTAATAATATAATTTATAATCATATAAACATTTATGATTTATTTATAACATAAATTATTAAAATCTTTCTCTTATTCATAATTTCAAATCCAATCAAAATATCATCACAGAAAAGTAATATTATTTTAGTTAATATACAATCACATCATATCAAAGATGGATTTGCTAATCAGGTTATCCATGGACTAATAAGCAAACATTAAGCTAGCATTTGGTCATAAATTTTTGAATACTTCCGTGAAATTGGATTTGAATGAAATTTTAATATGTATTTGGTCATAATTTTCAAAAACACATTTCACTTTTTTTAAAAATTAAATAACCACACACAACATGAAACATGATTTATACCTATAAGTTCTAAAAACTATATAAAAAAATACCCATAAATTTAGCACAAAATTATCATTTTAATAATGAGCTAGATTATACATTATTTGAAAATCATAACACAAAAAAATACAAATAACACAATTAACAGCTACTACAATTCATCAAATTGCACATAATTATAAAGATACATCGGTGCAAAAAAATAATTAACATCAAGGGTAGTAACTAGTTATTGTTTAATATAATCTTCTCATATTCTACGAACAATCTCTTCATGACAAGCACACATTTCTAGATTAGGAGGGCAATACTATCTAGTGTTATGATGGAATGAATAAAAATCTTTTGCTTTTAATTAAAAATGTTGGGTTCAAGTCTAAATTATTTTCTTAATAACAAATATTTCTTCTTTTAAATAACCTTACGCAGTGCAAATTAGACTCAATATAATTGACATCCC